CATAAGCAGCAGCATCGTCATCGTCATCGCCATCGCCAGCAGAAGCATCATCATCATTATCATCATCATCTGCAGCAGCATGAGCATGAGCATGAGCATGAGCATGAGCATGAGCATGAGCATCAGCATCATCATAATCATCATCATCAGCATATGGTACAGCAGCATCATCAGCATCGTCGACGTCGCCGTCATCGTAAGCATCACCACCACTACCACTATCGTCATCATCACCCCTATCAGCATCATCATCATGATCAACGTCATCATACTCATCATAACCATCATCACCATCAGCATTGTCATCTTTATCATCAGCACCATCATCACTATCATCACCATCATCGACGTCATCCCCATCATCATCATTAGCAGGCAGCAGCATCGTCTGTATCATATTCGTCAGCATAATCATCACCAGCAGCATCATCATCACCATCGTCACCATCATCAGCATGATCAGCATAACCAGCATCAGCATCATCAACATCATTGTTGCCGTCATCGTCAGCATCATCACCATAACATCATCAAGATCAGCATCATCATCATCAGTATCAGCATCCCATCCATCATCATCGTCATCATCGTCATCCTCATCATCAGCAGCATCATCATCAGCATCATCACCAACAGCATCATCATCCTGATCATCATCACCTTCATCATTAACATATTCAACATCGTCCTGATCCTCCCTCATCTTTCCTCCTCCGCCACTTCCTCCTGATCCTCTTCCTCGTCCTCCTTTCCCTCCTCCCGCCTTACCCGTGTTCTCCGCCCTTCCACCTGGTTCGGCTCAGGCTGATTCAAAAGTTCGATTTGACGTGTTTCCCCAGCTCTCTGTTCCACTGCATGCCTCACCACTTCCCTGATCAACTTACATGGGCATTGTTTTGGGATGGGATGGTGGGGATACGCGACGCGTCAAGAATATGCCCAAATGCGCCCCACCCGCTGGCACCCGCTGAACAGCCCCCAGGGTGGACGACCTGGACGACACCCGGACACGAGGACGAGGGGACACGACACCCAGGGGGCAGAGGAGGGAACGACACCCGGACACCAGGACGAGCCTGGAGCCGGGGGAGGGAGAAGAGCGAGCGACAGGGAACGACCGCCACGAGGGGGCGGGGGGAGGGCCAAGCCTGGACGAAAGCCCGAGGGACGAGCAGGAGGGAGAGCAGGCAGAGGAGCGACGCAAAACGGGAGGGGGGGAGCCCACGTCTCCAACCTCTGAGCCTCACGCGCGGAGAGCCACGTAGGCCACTGCGGCGGCCACTCGGAGGGCGGCCGCCGAGGTGCCCCTGCGGCATCTGAGCGCGCGGGCCCTGACATCTGCGGGCCTGGTATCTATTCAGTCCGCAACACCAGATCTTCCCGAAGCGCAGAACAGGACCTCCCGATCACAGAACCATCTGCGCAAGCGCATTCCAAAACAGCCACCCTTAGAGAAGAACAGCTCGCGCCGACAAACACACGCTGGAACGACGCGACCTGAAATGCTGCGCCCATCTCCACGCCACCCCACATTTCTGCACCCATAGATCGACATCACCCGAAGAGCCTGCCAGCTTTGGTGGCATCGTGAATGCGAATGCTTGTATGGCCACAATCAACCCCAAGGGGGTCCGACCTGGATCCATGTTTGATGGTCCCCGGGGCCGAAAACAACCAACGGGGGCTGAAATCCAGGAAAAGCGCCAGGATTCAGAAAACGGTCTCGTCGGTGATGAGGGAGCGTGCGGAAGGCAGAGGTCGAGCGAGGACCCCGTCTTCCAGGGTGCAGTGAAAAGGCGGCCCGCGGCGGCTGGCACAGGCAGGGCCGAGAGGGCTCAAGGCAACCGAGCAACCGAAGACAGCCCGCGGGCCTCGACGGGCAACCCGGCGGAGGCGCCGAAGCCAAAGCGAGGCACCCGGGGAGCTGCATGGCTGCTGCCACCAGAGCTCGGGGGGCACGCGAGGGCGCCCGGCGTGCCCCGGCGTGGGCCAGAACGGCTGCGGCGGCATCTCTGGGCGTTGCGGCGACGTTTCTGGGTGTATCCTCCTCCTTCGCCTCCTCCACCTCCTCCTCAGCCTCATTTCCGAATCCTTATACGTACCTATACGACCACCCTTCGGGTGATAAGGAGGTTCGGGGGGGGGGAGGAACCAACGTCTCACTCGATCGGTCTCACTATCGATCTCACTATCGATCTCCCTCGATCGATCTCACAATCGATCTCACTCGATCTATCTCACAATTGATCTGACTATCGATCTCACAATCGATCTCACAATCGATCTCACAATCGGTATCACATTCGGTCTCACTATCGATCTCACTATCGATATCACAACCGCTATCACAATCAACGTCATCATCATCAACAACATCAACATCAACATCATCATCACCAACATCATCATAATCGGGATACCGTCCTCATCATCAACACCAACATCATCATCATCATCATCATCATCATCATCATCATCATCATCATCATCACGGTCATCAACATCATCGGGACACCACCATCATCACCATCATCATCACCATCATCACAAGCATCATCAACATCATCATCATCAGCAGCATCGGGACACAGTCATCGTCATCATCATCATTAGCAGCAGCATCATCATCGGGACATCATCATGATCACCATCGTTATCATCATCATCCTCATCATCATCAGCATCATGGGGACACCATCATCATCATCTCATCCTCATCATCGACATCATCATCAACATCATCAACATCATCATCAGCATCATCATCATCATCATAATCGTCATCATCGGGGCACCATCATCATCATTACCACCATCAGCATCAACATCATCATCATCATCATCACCATCGGGACGCCATCATCATCAACATCATCATCATCACCATCAGAATAATCATCATCATCATCGGGACGCCATAATCATCATCAACCTCATCATCATCAACATCACCATCATCGGGACACAATCATAATCAGCATCATCAACATCAACATCATCATACTAATCATCATCGGGACACCATCATCGTCATCGTCATGATCATCAGCATAATCATCATGATCATCATCATCCTCATCATCGGGACACCATCAGCATCATCATCATCATCATCATCATCATCGTCATCATCATCATCGACATCGTCATCATCATCATCATCATCATCATCGGGACACCATCATCATCATATCATCATCATCATCATCATCGTCCTCATCATCATCATCAGCATTACCATCATCATCATCGTCATCATCATCATCAGCAGCATCAGCATCATCATCATCATCATCATCATCATCTCGTCATCATCATCATCATCATCATCATCACCATCATCATCATCATCATCATCATCATCATCATCATCATCATCATCATCATCATCATCATCGCGGGACACCGCGGGACACCGGCGGGACACCGCGGGGCACCGCGGGACACCGCGGGACACCGCGGGACACCGGGGGGCACCGGGCGGGACACCGCGCGCCACCAGCCGCCCGGAAGAGACACATTTGGTCCGGCCGCGCCTCAGCCACAGGGACACCGACGGGACACCGGCGGGACACCGGCGGGACACCGCGCGCCACCGGCCGCCCGGCGGAGAATCATTTGGTCCGGCCGCGCCTCAGCCACAGGAGACTTTCCTCTCGCCCGCCCACGCAGCTTCGCCTCGCCCGCGCGCACGGCACGCACGAACACGAAACCGAAATCGATTTCCCGGTAGGGGGGCTCTCCGTTCCACTTCGATCTCACCCCCTCACCTCCGAATTCCTCCCGCACCCCGAGGCCAGTGGGAAGGGCGGGCCATGCGTTTCGCCTGAGACTTCCCAACCACTTATGACCCTGAAGCTTCAAAGTGGCAGCAGCATCACAAATGGAGGGTGGGTCGCTTTCAAAATGCGGCTCTCGTCTTAGCGCCGCGCACATTCATTTTAAACATTCACAACAATTTCCCAATTTGAAGGCAAGTGGTTTTCAAAATGTGGCTCTCGCCATAGCGCCGCGCACATTCGTTTAACATGTTTGTAATAAGTGCACGGATTGAAGACAGGTCGTTTCCAAAATGTGGCTCCCGCCTTAGCGCCGCGCCCACCCGTCTTAAAATCGCGCCAGAGGTTCACACATGGAAGGTGATTCCGTGTTCAAAAAGTGGCTCTCGCGGGAGCGCCGACGGCAGGTTGCCTCGAGGACCTCGACTCTGAACTCGTTTTGAGTTTGCTTGATGCATGTCGAATGCGGTGGTACCTTTCTACACCCGTTGCCGAGCTCCGACTCCTCCAACTCCTCCACCTCCTCATCCTCCTCATCCCCGTCCTATTTTGTCCTCCCTCCCTCCCCTTCCACCTCCTCCTCCCCATCCCCTCTCCCCCTCTCCCTCATCCCCTTCCCCCTTTCGCCCCCTCCTCACCCTCCCCTCATCCTCCCCCGCCGCCCACTCATCCACATGGGGGCTTCCAATGCCCCAGTTATTTCTTATATGGCGTAGCCTTATGTGCGTGGAAGCTGCTGGCCTCATTCCCCCATCCCTCCCCCCTCCTCACTCCCCGTTCCTCCCTCAGCCCTCACTCCCCCGTCCCTCACTCAGTCCTTCCTCGTCCCCTCATCGACCTCCCCCAGCTCCTCCCTTCCCTCCTCCCTCTCCCTCCTTCCCTTCTCCTGCCCGTCCTGCTCCTGCTCCCCCTCCCTCTCCCCGCTCGCACCTATCGCAGAAGTCACATCGGCTCGGATCCTGGGCCTCCCCGGCCACTTCTGGGCTCGGCACGTGGCGCAGGCGGCACGCCGTGAGCCACCTCTCCGAACCGCCAGCACCGTGATAACAGCACCTGCTCCTTCCATCGCTGCGCGCGCGCACTCGTCCCGGGCAGCACCGAGCCCGCCTCCGCTCGGCCCGGCGCTCCCTCGATGGAGCTCTCGCGGGGGGAACCCCTTCCTGCGCCGCAGGCCGCCGCCTCCCCGCACCGCCGCTGCCGGCGCGCGGCTGGGGGCGACGCCGAAACAGGTCGACGACGACGCCGCAGGCCTGGGGCGGGCGGCGCACCACGGGGCTGAGGCCTCCTCGGATCGGCGCCCCGTCGGGCGCTGCCAGAAGTGGTCCTGGCCCGGGGGGTCGGCGACTCCGAAGGGTGTGGTTTGCAGAGGGTGTGGCTTGCAGCGCATACGCTGGGGGGGCGGGCGAGGACCTCGACAGAGTTCTCTGCCGCGCCCCGAGGGCCCAGGCCCCAACGATGCAGATCGCAAACAGTACCCCAGCGTAACCACACCCTTTTGCAGTCGCCGAGAGGTGTCCCCAGCTTCTCGCTCCCTCCTGGAGCCCCTGGGGCCCTCTGGAGGCCGTGCGGGGCCCCTGGAAATCCTGGCGATGCCCTGGGCCAGGGACACTTCTGGCAGCACCCGACCTCGGCTTTCCAAGGGGGTGGGGGGGGAGAGAGGAGGAGGAGGAGGAGGAGGAGGAGGAGGAGGAGGAGGAGGAGGAGGAGGAGCAGGAGGAGGAGGAGCGCCAACACGACAATCAGGAAGAGGAAGAGGAGGAGGAGGAGGAGGAGGAGCAGGAGGAGGAGGAGGCGGAGGCGGAGGCGGAGAGGGAGGACGAGGAAAACGAGGAGGAGGAGGAGGAGGTGGAGGAGGAGGAGGAGGAGAAGAGGGAGGAGAAGGAGGAGGAGGAGGAGGAAGAGGAGGAGGGGGCGGACGAGGAGGAGAGGGCGGAGGAGGAGGAGGAGGAGGAGGAGGAGGAGGGAGAGGAGGAGGAAGAAGAAGAGGTGGACCAGGACCCTGCCGAGGGCAAGGACGAGGCACGAGCGGAAGGAACAACAGGACCTGGATCAGGAAGCGGAGGGAGGGCACGGCAAGAGGCGGTGCGCCTCCTCCGGGGTCGCCGCATCCAGGTGGACGGATGCCATCGCTCACGCGCGGACCGTCCGACGGGCACGTCGGCGGGCGCTCGAGGCCAAAGCGCCGTCCAGCATCTTCCTCCTCCTCCTCCTCTTCACCACGCTCGTCCTTCGCCTCTTCGTCCTTGTCCTCCGACTTTCCCGTCCTTCGCGCTTTTTTTTGTTTCTCTATCTCTCTCTCTCTCTCGCTCTTCACCTGCGGGTGTTCACCAGTTGCCTCCTCCTCATCCTTCCGAAACCATCACTGACATGTGTTCCCCCTCCCCCATCCCTATCTCTCAAGCTGCCTATGTGAATACGTATGTATGTCGACATCAATCTGTGTATATCAAAATGTTGCCTCTCCCCCTCTTTCTTCTCCCCCTCTCTCTTTCTCTCTGTCTCGTTACCTCCGTATCGCTCTCTCTCTCTCTCTCTCCATATCCCTCTCTCTCTATCGTGTCTCACTCTCTCCCCTCTCTGTCTCTCTCCATATTTCTCATATCATCTCTCTCTCTCTTTCTCCCTGCCTCTCCCTCTATATATATATACATTCATCACCATATGTAAGTGTCTCTCTCTCTCTCTGTCTCTGAATGTATGTATCCCTCTCTCTCCCTCTATATTATATATGTATATATATGGTTTGTGTTCTCTCTCTCTCTCTCTAGATATATGTATAGATCGATCCGCCACCGTGCCTGCACGAAGTGGGCGTGTTAGAATGCCCATCTGGTGTCTGGGAGAATTGCTTAATACGTTCTGCCACCCCCCGCTCCTCGTTCCCCTCAGAAATTATTTCGCGGGCGGTGTTCAGCCTGCTAAAACCAAGATGACCTCCAGGACGGATTGTGAGACAGTCAAGACGACACCAAAACGGCTCCAGACGGCGCAAGGCGGCTCGAGAGGCTCTCAAGACAGCCCCATGACGGCCTGAGAGGCCCCCAAGACGGCCCAAAATAGCTCCAGTAGGCCCTGCAGGAGAGCCCGAGGACGCACAAACCAGTAATGTTGCGTAGGTACTGGAAAGGTTTGAAGGTCTCGCCGAGTTGGGGTTCCGACCGCCAAGGCGGCCCAAAGGGACCCAATATAGCTCCAAGACAGCCTATGAGGCCCCCAAGAGGGCCCCGAGTCGGCCCAAGAGTACCCAAGATCGCCTAAGAGGCCCCCAAGAGGGCCCCGAGACGGCCCTAAAGCGCTCCAAGAGGGCACCACGACGGCCCAGGGAGCCCTTCAAGTCGCCCCCCTAAGACGGCCCGAGAGGCCCAAAGAAGCCACCCAGGAAGCTCCCAGGAGGCCCAAGAAAATGTCTCCCCCTCGTCCTCATATTCTCCCCCCCCCCCCCTTTCTGTTTCTCCTCCTCCCCATCCTCCTCCTCAACCCGCCCCCTCCTCCGCCTTCTCCTCCTCCTCCTCCTCCTCCTCCTCCTCCTCCTCCTCCTCCTTCCCCCCTCTCCTCCTCGCCCTGCTCCTCCTCCTCCTCATCTTCCTCCTCCTCATCCTCCTCCTCCCTACCGAGCGGACGAAGACAATGCCGAGAACACGACACTCCCCAGTTCAGACCACTCGCTGAACCGCCGCGGGGTGTGAACTAGACCTCCTTCCTACAGCGCGGACGAAGACAAGGTCGAATGTACGACCCGTCCTCATCATACCACGTGTCGGAGTTGCGCTGTTCCTGCACCCAGCCTCATTCCTGCAGCGTTGTTACACCGGCACGGTGGCGGGGTTTGCCGCGGACAGCTGGATACAAACAGACATCCAGATGCACACATGTATATGTATAGTTGTAGCGCTATCACCCACGGTTGATGCAATCGACGTCACAATCTATAATTCAACCGATCCTCTTTTGATCAAGCTCTCCTTCCCCCTCCTGCATCCTTCTCCCCCCCCTCCCCCTCCGGCTTCGCATCCTCGGCGCATTCCCCTGCCTCATCGCGCGGAGCATATGCGCTCGTGGCCCACACTCCCGTGCACAACGTTCTCCCCAACATTGCTTACGCTGACGCGCGCTCGGCCGAAGGTGGAGCAGCACTAGCAGCAGCAGCAGCAGCAGCAGCAGCAGCAGCAGCAAGAAGAAGGGCAACTGGAGACGAGGAGAAAGAGGAGGGGGAGCGATCTCTGCGAGACCCCCGCTCGGAGAAATGCGCCTACTGTCCAGGTCAGTGTGAGATTTGGAGGCCCGCATGCATAGCACCCATGGGAATTCCCCGAAGTGGTTCACCTCATCGTCGTCCTCGTGATCGTGGAGGCCACCTTCCTCTCTCCCCCTCGCCCTTTCCTCCTCGCTCTAGCGGGGGCCTTACTCCCGCCTCCTGCTCGGCCGCGTCCTCCTTCTCCCCCTCGCACTCCTCCTCCTCCTCCTCCTCTTCCTCCTCCTCCTCCTCCTCCTCCTCCTCCTCTTCCTTCTCATCCTCGCCATTGATCAGCATCATCATGCCTTTTCCACATCCTGTGTCTCCTCCTCCTCCTCCTCCTCCTCCTCCTCCTCATCATCATCATCATCATCATCATCATCATCATCCTCCTCATCATCATCATCCTGCCTCTTCCCCTCGTGCACCTCTTCCCCCGCCCTGCTGCACGGGCGCGCATGTAGATTTTCCCTCGGCGCCGTCGCGTCCTCCGATAGCAAGATCGCGAAGCCGTTGGGACAAGCCCGAGGGCCAGGTCACTGAGACAATTCCCCCGGTCCGCTGGGGCGCTAGATCCAGCCGTCAGGACAATCCCCGAGCCCCCCAAAAAACGACATTGTTACAGGTGTTGGGTGACCCGCTCGGCTTGCACATATAATCTGGCGGCCCCAGGGGGGGGGCTCCCGCCTGGCCCATGACTCCCACGATGGCCCCCAGACGGCCCAAGGCGCCTTCAAGAAGCCCCAGGAGGCCTCCAAGAGACCTTCCCACAGACCCCCGAGAGTAACAATTCGTGTTGTTCCATAGTTTCTTGAAGGATTTTGGCGTTCTCGTCCCGTCGGCTTATGGGCGCACTGAGACGGCCCAAGAAATCCCCAAGATCGCCCCAACACGGCACAAGAGGCCTCAAAGAGCGCCTCAAAACGACCCCAGAGGGCCCCAAGACAGACCCAAAGGCCTCCAAGATGGCCCAAGAGGCCCCCAAGGCGGCTCCAAGAGCGGGCCCAGACGGGGGACCCGAACGGACATTTCGAGCTGTAGGCCCCGAGAGGCCCCAAGGAGGCCTCCGAGAGGCCCCAAGAGGCCCCCAAGAGACCTCAGGAGGGCCCCAGAGAGCCCGCCCCCCCCCCCCAAAAAAAACAACAACCCTAAGACGCCTCCCAAAGAGGCGTTTGTCCACGACCAAGTTTGGCCCCACAATGGCCCAAGAAGCTATCAAAAGGCCTCCTCCTCCTCATCCTCATCATTTCCTCCTCCTCCTCCTCCTCCTCCTTCTCCTCCTCTTCCTCCTCCTCCTCCTCCTCCTCCCGTCCTCCTTCTCATCCTCCTCTTCCTCCTCTTCCTCCTCCTCCTCCTCCTCTTTCTCCTCCTCTTCCTCCTCCTCCTCCTCCTCCTCCTCATCATCATCATCATCAGCAGCAGCAGCACATCACCATCACCATCAGCATCAGCATCAGCAACAGCATCTGACGTTCATAATGTCAGCATCGGCATCATGATGATGATGATGATGATCATCATCATCATCATCATCATCATCTAGTGCCGCCACCCCTCACCCCGCACAGCCAGCCACGCCGCTCGAGCACCTGCCTGTGCACGCGCTTTGCGAGTTACGGAGTCCAGCCCTCCGTGCGACGGGATTCTTTTCGAAGCGGTGGTATAGCCATCGAAGCCTTCTTTTTGCAAGACTCCAGCCATCCATTCAGGCCAGAGCACTCATCCCAGATGTCGACGAATAAAAAAAAAAAGCAGCATACTCACCATCACCATCAGCATCATCAGCATCGTCTTCAGCAGCCGCATAAGCATCACCACCATCACCACCATCGCCATCATCACCATCATCATCAGCATCATTATCAGTATCGTCATCATCATCGACATCAGCATAATCAGCATCATCATCATCATCATCATATTCGTCATCATCATCAGCATCAGCATCATCATGTTCGTCATCATCATCATCAGCAGCAGCATCATCATCATCATCTGCATATGCATCATCATCATCACCACCACCATCACCATCATCATCATCATCATCATCATCATCATCATCATCACCATCATCACCAGCCCATCATCAGCATAATTCTCAGCACCATCAGCATGATCATCCTTCTCGCTCGCCACGAGCACGCCAACGAATAGCACCAATGATACAATATGGGCTCAGGGCCCATCACAAACCGGACCGCGGGACGGAAGACCAGCCCCCGAGGAGGTCGAGAGATCCGGGGGCCCGCACATTGAAAAAACACGGCGTCGGATGCCTGCAGTGATGGGGGGGCTCTGCGGGGGCTCCACCTCGTGATCGTCCTCGTTCTCCTGCTACTCCCCCTCTCTTTCTCCTCCTCCTTCTCTGCCCTCCTTCTCCTCCTCATCTTCCCTCCGCTTCCCTTCACCCATGCCCCCACATTTCGTTCTCTGGCTGGTCCAAACAATCAGGGCAGACTGACCACACACACACACACACACACACATACGGGAACACCATGCAGAAGGAAAGAGAACATAAGGAGGAGAGAAACAAGGCAAGTTTCTTCACGCCCATGTCCGCAACAACAGAGGACAGCAGGACAGTCAGAGAGCCAAGTTTCGCATTCAACGCCTGCCACCCTCCGATACGACGGTTCCATAATCGCATGATGATGTCTCCTCCCCCTCCTCGTATGCCCCCCGCAAAAACAGCAACGGGTAACAAACCCGCACGAAGGCGGCAGATGCCCCCCAAGGCGGCACAACCTAGAAGCGCCGTGGAAAACAACGCTTCCCCCAACAACTCCCCAGAATGTCCGAACACATCGACACGAAGCTGCTCCACAAGAGCTGCCTCAACCCCAACATGCCGAACGCAACGCCTGAGAAAAACGGCCGCCGCCCCCTG